AAGGCACCTGTTACTACTAGCGTGGCACTTGTTTCTACTAGCTTCTTTTTGTACAAAATGGTCTTTAACATTTTGGAGGGAATAGGCCATGAAGGGAAGTGTAGGAGGGAGGGGGCAAGGCAGGATAGCTTATGGTAACGGGACAGGTAGAAGAATGTAGTGCACCAGTGCACGCGCTACTCTTCCTAGTTACTAGGACTAGTGAAGAACAGGTGAAGAACTCATACGAAAACAACAGCAGCTACTACTGCTGCTGCTGCCGCTGCCGCTGCCGCTACCGCTACCACTACGACTACGACTACTACTACCTCTTCTTCTTCTTCTTCTTTCCTTTTTCTTTTTCTTCTTCTTTCTTCTTGAATTGAAGACACAGTTGGCATGTTTTAGTCAAACATCATAGGGGAAACACCTGGAAAGTAAAGTTGCAACGCTCACATTGATCCTTTTACGAAGCTGGCACTTAATCCATCAGGATGGTGTGTGGGAAGCATTGTTCTTCTATGACATTGACGACTTCAAAAGTCGCGCCTCGTCCGACAGAATCTTCATGGTCATTGACGACACGAGAGGAGTTGTTTGTTTAAAACCAAAACAGGGATGCAACCATGCTTCTTAAGACAGAAGTCTGCGATGAACTGAGTCTTGTTTAGTGGAGTCGAGGCCTGACCTACATGCGCCAGGCGCTCAGTTGCATAATGGGCAGGCCATGAGGCCTGCCATGTCTGCCGGTGCAAGACATGTTTGCAAACGAGTTCCGCGCCGAGGCCAAGTCTATCAGGAGATGGCGCACGTGAGGGTTGCACGAAGCCACAAAATGCTTTGCTTTCACCAACTAGTATGCTTTGTGTTCTTGAAATGTTTTTGCCTGGCTCTTTTCGCCGACCAGTATGCTTTGCACAGACTTCACCTAGGAACTAACCACCCTGCGGAGGCTTGATTGGTGTTGCGAAGTCTTCTCAATCAAGCCAGGACTGCAGCCTCGGCATTTTCCCTGACTTCAAAGGGATGGGAGATGATCCTTGGATGGTCTACAGTCATGACCAGATCCAAGACATCCTGCACCTTGGCATTTCCTTTTGCAGGTTGCATCAAGTTGCATCTCATTCATGTGTGTATGTATGTATATATATATATTTAAAAAGAGAAAAACACATGCAGGATACTCCCTGTCATGCTTTCTGCTTTGCCAGAATTCTGGCTTTCTTCTGACGCTGTTGGCGTGGCCTTGGCAAGTTCGGCTCTTGGTCTGAGGCTTCATGCTTGCACGGCCAGAGATGAGGAGGTCTTCAAGCGAGAGACGCTTTTGCTCGGCAAACATGGTTTCCATTTAAACAACAAACACTCAAGCGTGTGTATGTGTATTAAGCTTATGGTGCAAATGGTGTTTTTTATTCCAGACTTATGCTTAGGAAGGTGGAACAACTAGTTAAAGACCTTCAAGACGACAATGCGAAGCTGACAGAGGCCGGGGTGGCTGGCAGGCTTTGCGGGCGTTGCGTGTTTGGGCTATGGACATTGGATACGTTTGCCCTTTGGTCCACAGGAGCTGGAAAGGCGTCGAAAAGAGCAGACAGAAATGGAGAAGGTGCGACAGCAGAAAAGGGAAGCAGTCAGTGAAGTTCGTTGCAAGGGCAAAGAAACATGACATTTGCAAAGTTTACACAACCACATTAAGTAATGACATGTCCAGGTGTTGGGCCACTTGTTTTGCGTTGCAGAAACGACATGGTGTTGCACGCATTGATATTTGAGGATCAACTAGTAGGTTCAGTTTGGATAAACTGTCTAAGTTTGCTTTCAAAACAGTACTCCACTAGCATGCAAAAGCGCTGTGCCAATATTTGTACTTTCTCACTCGAATCGCACCTAATGACAGAAAGCATACACTCACAAGATTATAGTACCTCACCAGCAAATAGATTGCCAATCATTTATATGATCAAACATGTTTTTCTAACCGCATGGCAGAGACTACACTTGATTGGGGAAGTGTGAGCTGCTAGGATATCCAGCTTCAGACAGAGCCACGCTTCTGCAATTAGATTGTGCTTCTTGGAAACTGCATGTCTTTAACTGCATGTCTTTTTGGAGCAGCAAGCAAGCTCCTTTCTTGCGCCATACCATGCTTGCATGGTAATTGGTTGGTTGGGCTAAACAAATTCTCGGACTTGGCGCTAGCCAAGGAGAGTCGAAGTGGCGGCAAAGGCACGGATTGAAGACTTGCAGAAGCAGCTAGCAGAAGCTCGTTTTAATTTGGTTGAATGATTGTAGGAGAATTGGGCAAGCCTAAAAGGAATCTGTCGAACTGTTTGGCCTCCTGAACAAAGGAGTTGCACGCAGCAGAAGCAGCCAAAGATGAGCTGCAGAAGGACCTTGATCGGTCAAGGTGGGCATCACAAACTCCACGATACACAGTCGTGCAATCCTATTCCACAGTTTGGCTGTTGCAAGCCTTACACTGTTAGACACTGAAGTGCACTTCAAAGTTGTATGTTTGGGTTCTGTTGTCGACATCTCCAATATCCATGTGCGTTGGGTCCTCAGTGGTTTGTATGGCTTTCATATGCAGGTTTTATGTTGCATCAGACATGCTGAGAAGTTTGTTGAACCAGCAAGCTTTCCCCTCAAATTATGCCAGAATAGACCTCAAACAGTTTCAGCATTATCGTTTTGGCGTCAACTCCTTGAATTGCAATGTTGCTGGTAATGTCTGACTGTATTGGGAATGGCATGTAAACAGCTTGTTCGAACACAATAGTTCCTGATTCTCGGTCTCGGCATCACATGTGCAAACACGAAGGGATAAACATCATGAGAAAACTCGAGGATGATATATCAACTCTGCATCACTGTTGTTCATAGCCGTAGCCCAAAAAACATTCTGGAAAAAGAGAAAGCGGCGTGGTAGCACACACAGACCCGGACAAGCGCTGGACAAGGCAGCGCGGCCAGAGGACAAGGACAAGGACACCGCAGGGCTTAAGCGGTCCAGGCCACAAGGCCCGGACGAGGCGGTCCAGCGCGGCCACGACAACAGGAGCGGCGCCAGGACAAGAGAAGGACGCAGGCTGCACGGCGTAAACTGGACAACAAAAGGACAACAGACTGCGGCCAAGGTCTTTTTTCTGAAGCCGTAAATTGTTTGGAGACAAATGCCAGAAGTCCCTGCACCGTCAAAGGGCTTTCAGTACTGCAGTCTGTTTTTTCCTGCACAGCTCTGCCAGAAAACACGCAGCTTTGGTCAGGGCGATTTCAATGCTGGTCGTGCGTCGACAGCTTGGCATGGATTCCTTGCCGGTGTTCTCGCATCAACTGAGCGCTCGTCGTTCATCAGAGCCACAAACTTCTTGATGTCATTGTACGAGACGATACGGGGTCAAGGAAGGGAAGATAAGGAAGGAACTTTCTACCCAGTGCTTGCAATGCTGACGTAAATCGAGTGTTTGCTACGCGGCCTTTGGAATCCACCCTTTTGCACTCTTTTAATCACTGGTGGTTTCTCGACGGCCCTTGGGGATTCTCATGGGCATGAGTTTGCGGTGTGTCGTCGCCTGTGGTTTTTCTTCTTGTTCCTCCTTTCCCAGTTTGCTTTGAAGCCCTGAAGGTTGGAGGAGTCAACAACCCGACAAATGCACGAGGACATGCAGAAACAACTTGCAGAGCGTGAGAGCTACTTGGTTGGCAGGCGCCTGCGTTTGGGCCGAAATGTATCAAAACCTAAAGCATCCTAAAGCATTTCTTGTTGGATTTGGAGGCTTTATTGTGCGAATCGTGAACTATATGCTTTTATTTTAATGGTTTGATCTTTGTTTTCAGCGCAAATTCACCACTGGGCAATCGATCAACTTGTAGGGAAAACCAAGACGTCAGCCCTGCGTCATGTGTGGAGCAAGGAAAGCTTCAAGACGACAATGCAAAGCTGACAGAGGCCGGGGTGGCTGGCAGGCTTTGCGGCTTTGCGGGCGTTGCGTGTTTGGGCTATGGACATTGGATACGTTTGCCCTTTGGTCCACAGGAGCTGGAAAGGCGTCGAAAAGAGCAGACAGAAATGGAGAAGGTGCGACAGCAGAAAAGGGAAGCAGTCAGTGAAGTTCGTTGCAAGGGCAAAGAAACATTACATTTGCAAAGTTTACACAACCACATTAAGTAATGACATGTCCAGGTGTTGGGCCACTTGTTTTGCGTTGCAGAAACGACATGGTGTTGCACGCATTGATATTTGAGGATCAACTAGTAGGTTGAGTTTGGATAAACGGTCTAAGTTTCCTTCCAAAACAGTACTCCACTAACATGCAAAAGCGCTGTGCCAATATTTGTACTTTCTCACTTGAATCGCACCTAATGACAGAAAGCATACACTCACAAGATTATAATACCTCACCATCAAATAGATTGCACAAATATGTACTTCATCAACGATGTTTTTCTAACCGCCTGGCAGAGACTACACTTGATTGGGGAAGTGTGAGCTGCTAGGACATCCAGCTTCAGACAGAGCCACGCTTCTGCAATTAGATTGTGCTTCTCGGAAACTGCATGTCTTTAACTGCATGTCCTTTTTTTGGAGCAGCAAGCAAGCTCCTTTCTTGCGCCATGCCATGCTTGCATGGTAATTGGTTGGTTGGGCTAAAAAAATTCTCGGACTTGGCGATAGCCAAGGAGAGTCGAAGTGGCGGCAAAGGCACGGATTGAAGACTTGCAGAAGCAGCTAGCAGAAGCTCGTTTTAATTTGGTAGTATTTGGTTGAATGATTGTAGGAGAATTGGGCAACGGCTCAAGAAACCTAAAAGGATCTGTCGAACTGTTTTGCCTCCTGAACAAAGGAGTTGCACGCAGCAGAAGCAGCCAAAGATGAGCTGCAGAAGGACCTTGAGCGGTCAAGGTGGAAATTCATTTCTCAACGGACGAACATCACCAACACTCGCGATAAATGTTGTTGTTTATATATATATATACATATATATTATGGACTCTTTACTGTTTTTGTACCCTGAAGGTTGGAGGAGTCAGCAATTCGAAAACAGCACGAAGACCTGCAGAAACAGCTTGCTGAGCGTGAGAGTTTCTGGGCTCAAGGGAATGTTGCGAAGCTTTGTTGGTGACCAAGCACCAATGCTTGGGACGATATTGTTTCAACCAACATGATTAACTGCTAGCCAAGAAAAGATTGCGATCTCGAATACGTCATTAAAACGTCAGTCTGTGCGTTTGTCAGTGTCTACTTTACTGGTCTCCTCCTTTGTTCCTGTGATTGTCTAGTTAGTAGTTTATTGAGGCCATCGCTATTAGGTTGGAGGCGCTCGCTATTAGAAACAAAGAAGAATGAAAAGGACGAAAGGTCTAATATAGTAACACCAAGAAGCTACTAGTAGCTCCTGGCATTACTACTAGAAACAAGAAGCTACTAGGAACAAGGACGCTATTGGGTTGGAGGCCAACTTGCAGTAAGGACATTTTGAGGAGCGCCTTCGCACCAGCCAGCTTGAGCGGGACCAGCTTCTCAGCCGCAGTGTGCTGCATATCATTGACCTCAAAGCATTTGAGTTTATTTAAAGAAACAAGTTGGAACCCACGAACCGGAATGCACACACGCCCAAACATTTGTTTTTCCACTCTTGTAGGAGAGACTGTTCTAGAACGCTCTTGTGGGACACTCTCGTGCGACACTTTCGTCACTCCGTGGGACACTCTTTTTCGGGGCACTCTTGTCGGACACTCTTGTGGGACATCTCCAAAGCAAGCATTTCTTACAAGACTTGCTCCAATAGTCACAGGTCAAGTCTGCAAAACGAGCGTTTCGTTCGAGACCTCCTCCAAAACCCATGCGTCAAGTCGGCAAAACGAGCGTTTTGTTCGAGACTTCCTTCAAACATGAAGCGCGAAGTCTCATCAGAGACAACTCATTCTGCAGCCCTGCCAAGCAGTTTCGCAATCCCAGCCCCTCAAAACCACAACCGCAGACACGCGAATCCCAATGTCCCAGCGACACTCAACTCCACCAATCATTAAACCTCACGATTCCTGGCGCCTGCCACGAAAATATAGCTTCGACACTTCTAACACGCACAAAGCACTGCGCCTGCCACGAAAGGTGATGACATTACCTGTTTAATCATGTTCATGTCTTCAGATCACTACCCCCTTGCGGTGCCTGACCCCAGGGGGGTCAGATTTGTAACTTACAGGTTTTCCCATTGACGTGTGGGGTGTTTGTCTTTAGTGTGGTATCCGCTCGTGCCTCCGCCTCCTCCCGCCTCTCGCTTGTCACCAACCGATTGTCATCAACCAATTCGCCAATGATTTGCTTGCTAATTGTCTTCTCCAGGGTCGGATGTACGCCCTGGCGCTGGCTGGGGCTGCTGGGTCTCCGCCGCTGCGCCGCTGTGATTTGCGCGCGTGGTGTTCAAAAACACTGTGTTTTACAGGGTTTTGTGGACAGTGGCGAAATGCAAAAACCCTGGGTTTTACAAGGGTGGTGTCGGTAATGCGCGCCGCGCGGACGTGCGTAATCGGAATTTTTGGGTGATGGGCCCGTGTCAGCACAAATCGCGCAACATGTACCCCAAGATGACCCAACAGAGGCTCCCAAGATAGGTCCAAGATGGCTTAACATAGCCCCAAGATGGCCCAACATAGGCCCAAGAGGGGCCCTCCACAGGGCACAACATAGGGCCAAGATGGGCCAACATGGGCCCAATCTGGCCCAACATAGGCCAAGCTAGGCCAACGTGGGCCCAAGATGGGCCAACAACAACAACGACAACAACGACAGCGACAACACCAACACCAACACCAACAACAACACCAACAACAACCACCACCACCACCACGACGACCACGACGACGATGACGACGACGACGACGACGATGACGACGACGACCACAACCACAACAACAACAACAACAACAACAACAACAACACACCAATTATCAGATAACCCCACTGGCTGGTGCTGGCCGGTGCTGGTGGGTCTTTGCCCTTCTGAAAGGGTTATTTTTGAGGGCGTGTTTTTCAAAAAACATGGTCCTCAACCAATTGTCATGAATCAATTGTCACACCAACCAATTGCCACCCACCAATTGTCACCAACCACCAACGCAGACATTCTCTCTTGCTAAGTTGCTAACATGTGGGGTTATCCGGTCCTATAATTGATTTTGCGATCATAGCATTATATAGCCAAAGGGGGAGGGGGTGTGAAACTTGTTAGATCTAAGTAGGTTGATGTGGCCTAGACGAGGATCTTACTTGTTTAGCCCCCGCCTCAAAGAGGTCTTGGCCTACTTCTTGAGACTTTGAAAGCAGGGGGCGGGGGGGTGTCAAAATAGTAAGAATGGATGGGCAGGTGCCCCACAGAGCAAGTTACAATTTGCCCCTGTGTCGGCTTTGCTTTCGCGACTTCGACTCAGGTCAGATGGGAAATTGTAAGTTACAATTTTGAGGGTCAGGCGGCGTGCGTCCACCTGACCCTCAAAAAATATAACTTACAGTTCTTGAGCGCGTACAGGCTCAACAAACACACATGAGGGTCAAAAATGTAACTTACAATTTTGACCCCTGTCTTGTCAGATGGAGGTATTTTTGTGCGTTTTAGAGCTGTATGTTCAAACATCACCGTCTTCCAAAACCTGCATTTTGACACACCCAAAATTGTAAGTTACATTTTTGACCCCCCCGGGAGGTAAGGTAGTAGTGATGTCTTCAGCAAAATTTGCACCACGCCACAAGTTTGGAATGACCTCGACACGTTCCTAGCACACTCCCATCCACCAAAATCGCAATTTCAGCTGAGACTTGTCACGGAAACACAGCCTCGAAGCAATAGTCTGAAACGCAAATCACAGCCACATCCAACACCAAAAGCACCACCCTCTAAACGCCAATCCCAATCTGACTGCGAAGAACACTGGGATCTCACAAAACGCTGCGCCTGCGCAGTGAAATCATCCTCCACACTTCACCAGTACTTCAACATGTTGCATTTCTCGCTTCACATGAATCTGGCACGTCATGCTTCCATCCAAAACCCTCTCCAACAGTTTCCCCCAATGTCAGCGCTGTAGTGCCCTACTGCGAACGGTTGCGGACAGTTGACAATGGTTGCGAACGCTACGACAACGAGTCGCGAACAAGACTCTACCCCCAGACCCCCGGAGTTAAACGAGAACCCTTCGCTGCGCATTCGGGAGCCACATGTGTTTTGGCTGTGTATACCTTAGAAAACCTGTTTTGGCTGTGTTTTGGCTGAGCCACATATGTTTTTTAATTAACTTAGAAAATTTCTCAGGCCGAGTGTTCTCAAACACAGGCTGCGGAGTGAGCTTGACACCATGAAGCGTACAGCTGCTGCCGAAGCTGCGGACTGGCAAGCAGAGTTACTTGGGTGGCAAAGAGCAAAGAAGCCCAAGAAAGATGTGATCAAAGCAAACGTGTGAAAGGGGTGAGGTTTTCCTTTTTTCTTGCTAAATCCTTGAAACCCGCGGTTTTCTTGCTTCGCGAATGTAAAACTTTGTCCGCTCACTTAGGCGACAGAAATTGCAAGCACAAATTGCCCGACAGCTGGGACAGGCAAAGTTCACAAAAATCACCAACCTAAGAGCGATGGCCTCCAACTAGTAACTAAAGTTACTAAAGGATGCAAAGGAACCGAATAGCCTCCAACCTGATAGCAATGCAGAATCCACGCTCCAATGGCCTAACGGATCCTAACGTTTGCTTTCGTCGAATTCAGGAGCAGACGGAGCATGCTGCATCAGCTGATGACCAGCCCACGGGATTCTTGGGGTCCTTGCAAAGTCTAATGAAGCCCAGCTGCATCGCAGAGACGCTGCTGAAGCTCTTGTGGCGTCATCAGAGGGTAGAGGCCATCGCTTCTAGGTTGGAGGCCATCGCTCTTAGGTCGGAGGCCATCGCTATTGGGAACTGAATTCTATTTTAGTTATTTAATTCTAGTTGAATCCTAATGCGTGATCAGAGGGTGGGTGATTCGATCTTCCCGCTTGGTCCGCTATCGGCGTGTACTTGTGAACCAAGGTGCACTGCCAGGCTGGCCGTGGGGATTTGACATAGATGTTTGTCCTTTGAGATGAGTTGCCATACTTCCGAAGACAATTGTAAAGCTGTGTTTCAAGCTTGTATTGTCACGCATGTCTTACATTGTTTTACGCATGTTTGGATGCAAGTTCTGTGATGACATTTGCCAACCTCCACGTCCAGGCCTGGGCGCACCAGTCCCCATGCTCTGAGGTTGGAAGGTCTCTGATCCGACGGCAACATGCAGCTGGAAGAAAGCACATACCTATTAGTGATGGCCTCCAACCTAATAGCAATTGCTTTCTTCCAGACATTTTGGCATGTCCTCTCTCGTTCCAGTTTGACCAGTTTGGTCATGTTTGGTCCAATCTTTACAGATTTGTTGTTAACGTTTGGCGACTGGGTGTTAAGCTCAAAGTCGGAAGCGAGGCAGACTGAGTAGCTGTGTTTACGCCACTAAACGGTTGACATTAACAGTTTCGTCCATGCCCAAGTCTGCATATCAAAGCTTCCTTAGCTTGCAACATCCACGCCCTGCACCGCAGCGGTGCCTTTAACCGTTGTGCTTTAAATCCGGTGTATGTTTTCAAAGGACTTAGATGGCGAAGCCCTCGAAGAGGACTTTTTGGCCAGAAAGATGGCGCCAAGGGATTCGCAACCAGTGTCTTTGGCTCCTACTAGTAACAAGAAGCTACTAGTAACAAGAAGCTACTAGGGGCTCCTGGCCTTGTTACTGTTACTAGGAGCAAGGACGCTACTAGGAGCAAGGGGAATCGCTACCAGGACCAAGGACGCTACTAGTGGCTCCAAGGACGCTACTAGTGGCTCCTGGCATCGCTACTCGTAGCATTCTTGCTACTCGGAACAAGAAGCTACTAAGAGCTTTTTGGCGCTTCCTGAATTCCTTTTACACGTTTTTGCATTCCAAGACAGCTACCCCCCTGCCAATCTTCCTATCCCAGTGCCAGGTCAAATGCTCATGCGGTGAAGGCCTCTGCCCCTACGAGGGCGGTTGCCAGTCGTCAGGGTGTCCAGATGGAACTTCACATGTTGCTTCTTCAGAGGGTCGTTAATCAGACGGAGCCATTGCCATTAGGTTGGAGGCCATGCACTGCGTTTTACTGAGGTATATGTCCTGGCTTCGGAGTCGCTTCGGCGTGAAAGTCCACTGCATCACGTGGCTGTGGCTGCCGACAGGCCAGTGTTTGTTTTGTGGAAGGTGTGTTCACTAGGGTCTCCTGGCATCGCTACTAGGAGCAAGGATGCTACTAGGGGCTCCTGGCCTTACTAGTAGGAACAAGAAGCTATTAGGGGCTCCTGGCCATACTACTAGGAGCAAGGACGCTACTAGGTTCAGGAAGAAGGCGGACAACACGTTCCAGCTGTGCTGAAGCCCCATTTGGATGCGAAAGGAGACTGCATAAAGGGGTCGTGAATGGATGCAAGACACGCGGGCCTCTCTTTTACTCCTTCATTTCTTTTCAGAAGAACACCATCAAAGAACTCGATAGCTGGAAGAAAGAACATGCAGGTAAGTTGGATTCAAGAGGGTGAAATTGATGGCCCACGATGGCCCAGGTGCTGCTTGAATACTGCTCTCGCATTGAATCCAGCTAGTAGGTTGGAGGCCATCCCTGTAATATTAAGTAATTCAATGTTATTCACCCAGTAGACCTTAGGTGCGCTTGCAACAAAAGCACAAGCACATTGAATCGAGCTAAGAATGTAAAGCTTCGTTGAGCATCCCATGGCGTTGCCGGATGCCCCATTTTGTGCCGGCCTGGTGGGATCGTTTCTTTGTCTCTTGGAAGAAGTTGGCACCTGGAAAAAGAGGTTGACAATTGTTGAATGGTACCAAGAGGAGTGGTAAGATGTGATAAGAAAAGCAGTGTTCGCTTGACGTTGCCAAAGGCAATACTTGACATGATTAAAACTCTCCAAAGCAGTGTTCGCTTGAACATCAAAGCGGGCGTTCGAGGTGTTAGATCACAGCTACAGCCACACCTCGCTTTCGATTCACCTCCGAAAAGCAGGACTGCACAATGCAACTTGGTAGTGAAGTATTTTGGTAGTGAAGTATTTTGGGTGGTTTCAGGCTGTATTCCCCCTGGCAAACTGATGTTGGAACCTCATTGTTCAAAGGCAGATGTTGCATCCCTGAGCTTGGCACTGCAAAGCTTTCTCACGAGCAATGTGGACCCAAAGTTGCCGCTCCACATTGAGCTACTTGGCACTTTTGGTACATGAGACGACACAATTCAAGCAAGCTTTAGCCACTGTTGCATATCTGGAATATCCAGCATCAGCATGCATCAGTGTGCTTTCTTGAAGGACAAGAGATTGAAGGAATAGCAAGAACACTCTGTTGTAAGAGCACTTTCTCCTAGTAGCGTCCTTGCTCCTAGTAGCGATGCCAGGAGCCCCTAGTAGCTTTTTGTTACTAACTTGCTTTGGTTTCAAAGGCTGGATGCTTCTGAGAACGACCTTGACGACCTATCCGTGGCAAGGATTTTGCAGATTCTGCAGCGAAACCCAGGCAAGATTTTATGAGCGTAGTCAGTAGTCGATTTGTTAAATGTGCTAGCTATTGTACCGAGCATTGATCATCAGATTGACTGATTGTTGCAGGTTCAACGTATCTTCGGAGCCTGAAGCTGTACAAGAATCGCGTCCCCCAGCAGAGTTAGAGCTGTTCTTTGCCACGGCAAAAGGTTCCATTGGATGACATCGAGTGAACGGAGAGAAGCTCTGGAAACACCACGCAGCAAGCTGCGTTAGGTATCAGATCTCACATGCGCGGCCTTGGCATCCTTTCTGTGGAATCAAACAGAAGCATGTGAGGACAGCCGCTCCTACAGCAAAGTGGGCCAGAAACGCCGAGCAATTGGTTTGACACTACATAGAAGAGCTCTTTACACGCCCAGACATGCATGTCAAACAGTTCCATCAATCTGATTGCTTTTCAATACTGAGAAGGCAATCTTGGTTTATTTCAACGTCATTGTATTGCTCTCCCCGAGATTCTGCAGGAGATTCACCAAGCTTCTAGGTTGGAGGCCATCGCTAGTAGGTTAGAGACCATCGCTAGTAGGGGGAGGCCATCGCTACTAGGTTGAAGGCCGTTGCTATTGGTGCAATTTGTTTTACATGTCAAAAGATTTCCCAAGATTCTGCAGGAGATTCACCTGTCGCATAATGAGATTGGTCACCGCGGGGTGGCCATGTTGCTGGCCGTCTTGGCGATGCATCCAAAGGAGGCTTATCCCAGAAGTGTGGAGCACCTGGACGAGGCAAAGCTGCCCAAAGCCAATGAAAAGGATTAGACCAGATTGAGGCAATGGCAATGTTCATCTAAATAGTAGCGTCCTTTGTTCCTAGTAGTAAGGCCAGGAGCCCCTAGTCGTTTCTGCTCCTAGTAGCAGGCATTGCCCCAGAAAGTTTCGGTGTATTCGGCCCAATGTTGGAACCTAGCACAGGTTTGAACCGGTAGGTGGGGAAGTCCATGTTTGTTGAATGTGTTCCTTCCAAAATGGCGTGTCAGTCTTCCATGCGCTTCCTGCGTTGCAAAGCGATATGGCAAACTTGCAAGCTTCCTGGACATGTCCTTCAAAATCCGAGAACCAAGAAGCTACTAGGAACAAGTGCATCGCTTCTAGTAACAAGTGCCTTACTAGTAGTAACAAGAAGCTAGTAGAAACAAGAAGCTACTACCTACAACAGAGGAACACGAGAGTCTAGATTGGTTTGGGCCAACAAGGCCTTTGGTCCAGGCTGTGGAACATGACAGGCAACGCAGGCAAGCCGTCCAAGAGCACTCACCATCCACCGCCAGACCGATGAGATCTCATCCCGCATGCTCACCGGCTGACCCAACGAAGTCCGGGTTGGACACCGAAACCTGAAAAGGATCCTACACACCAACAACAAGGCTAGGCTTGTTCACATCAGAGTCCAAGTCCAGGCTAACTTCCCAATTATCCAACGTTTCGCATCATCTAGGATTGCTTGGTCAGGCAATCCCTTGCTGGCTACGGCTGGAGCACAATCAGGCCAGAGGCAGATGATCGGCAGATGATTGGAGTCAAGGCTTAAGTGTGCTATGGTGTGAAACAGTTCAGACATGTCACGACATGTCTCATTCCGTTGGACAACTTCTTTTTGTTATTAGGTTGGAGGCAATTCATCGCGTTTATACCATCCGATTTGGGTCACTGTTTAATTGACACCCCAGGAGCATTTTTGCTCCTAGTAGAAATGCCCTTTGCTGCTAGTAGCGTCCGATCGCTCCTAGTAGTACGGCCAGGAGCCCCCTAGTAGCGTCCTTGCTCCTAGTAGCGATGCCCTTGTCGAGTCCAAGCACCTGAACCTTTGTGCAATCGATTTGCAGCAGTTGGAAACTACCTTGTGTCCCGTATGGTTCAATAGAGCTCGATGGATCCTGCAATTGCGGGAGGCGACCAGTATCGAACACTTGTTGTCGGCCTTGGAAAAGGACTGGGTTGAGAGCTTTGCTAGACAATTCCTGGTTGCAGGCCTGACAAGAGCCTGGTTGACTCAAAAGGTCCTTTAAGGGCCTTTAGAATCAATCCCCCAATGTTCAAATTTGAATGTCGATCGTAAGACTTTGTGCACTCCTTCCACACTGAAGGACCCAGTTCGTCTCCGCTACTGCATGGCACCACGCGGCGAGACGGCCAGCTGCAGCGTTTTCCGATGCTCAGAGGCCTCAGCAAACAAGGAGAATTAAGGATGAGACGGAATGACACGAAAACAAAGAAGACAAGGAAGACAAGATCATGTTATTCTTCAACTCCTCAATTTCTTGTTCTTCATCATGATGAGACGGAGTGAGAGGGGGACGAGGTAAGAGGAACAACCCGGAGGACAAAGATATATGATATACAGTATTCTTCTCAGCTTTGAGTCTGTGTTTCAACATCGTAAATAGACACCACAACAACTGTAATGTTGCTATCATTATCAATGCGTTAAGCTGCAGCAGAACTGTATTGCAGTCTTTCAAGAGATCCATACGCCGATGAACAGCTTGGAAACAATAAAGGAGCTGAGAATAGTGAAGGTATGGAACTCACATACCAAGATCCCGCCTTAGCTGCAACTTGCCAACTGAAGCTGACATCAATCGTGGAATGATTCCGAAATGTTCATTGGTGTTCTTTCCTTTTTGATTCCAGCTAGGGAACTTGCCAGAGTCAACCATGGACAATGGCTTCTGGTTGGATCGGTTGGATCCCGTCCATCCTTCGTTGCTGTCTCCCCCTCTTTGCCACAAACGAGGAGTCAAAGTAAATGCATCAAAGCAGAAAGTTGGACAAGCCGTCAATGTTCTGCTGGTCAGAGTCAACAAGACCTGTACTTTCAGACTTTGAGGTCTTTGATGAGAGGTCAAAACATCAATATGCCTCAATATAATATATATATATATCACTTGACTGCCCGCCGTTTGCGGCCAAACAGGAACAAAACCAACCACAGCAAGGCTTTTTGTTTTGCCTCTGGCAACCAGACTCATGTCCATCACCAGCGGCAACTTTGCTATTAAAGACAGTTGTATGTCTATCGAACTCTCTTGCATCTCTCTTCTGAAGCTTCCTTGACAATAGCATGGTTGCATGGTAGATTGTAGGTAGCACAGTCGCAGCTGCAACACGCAAGATTCTCAGATCACAAAAGGATACAAAAGGTTTTAGATGGGCTTTTGTGGTGTGCGTGCAGTCCGCCTTGGAAATACACGCATATTGATATGGTGCACTGCAAGGCTGTAAATATTGGGTCTTTGTGTTGCCACACAAATCGGTAAGCTTTCGCAGCTTTAGTTGGCGCAAACAGCCTTCTTGATCTTCAAGGGAGCGTTTCTTCGTTGCCCCGAAATGAGGAGGAGACACCTCACGCCCACCTCTACTGCATCACAAAGCAGAAGGCCTGAGTCGTATGCTCATTCAATCTGCTTTGTCATGCTACTTAGCTGCCCCTTTGCAGGAGAATGTGGAATTGACGGAGCAGCCTCAACTTGAGACTATGGTGCTAAGCATTGCAGACGCGGTTCCTCGTCACTCAGTGTCAATGCTTGATTTGTTTAACATGATCAAACCAAAAATGCATGCTGTCGTAGGTCTCAGGCTCAGTCGAAGGCTTTTGCTTTGTTACTTTTTGGTGTCGTTCATTGTGTCAAGTAGTCCTCTGACATGTCAACTTGCGAGCACAGCTGTGGCTCAATCTTTGTCACAGGTTGTCGCTGGCCGCTTTGACCTTCCACAAGCAGATCCGGTGGAGAGGCGTTTTGTTGAAATTTGGTTTGCGCCGTTGTTTTTGTTCACTTTCTTCCTACAAACCGTATCGATTGGCAAGAAGTCGCATCGACAGTGTGCGCGCACAAAGATTTGGATGGGTTGTCGCTCTTTGTCCTCAAGCTGTATAGGACTATAGGCCACCTGTTTTCCTAGGTGTGCGCAGCATTTACATTTACTTCATAGCTTCATAATGCTACTAGGAGCAAAGGGCATTTCTACTAGGAGCAAAGACGCTACTTGGGGCTCCTGGCCGTACTACTAGGAGCAACGGTCCATCGATGTGCAAATCGACAAAAGAATGACAGGGTCCATGGCGTTTTGGCCTGGTATTTCACTGTCACCCAGCCAGCTCCCTCTGTTGGCTGGCTACAAGTGCGTTTTGACTTGTTGAAACAAGTATTGGAAGGTGCTCGGTGAGCGAGCATGGCCGCTCCAATCTTCTCAGGTCACTAAGCTAAGAGGCCTAAGCGACGCTTGGGCGGCGCTAAGCACCAAGCCCCCCCCCCCTTCTCCTTTTCCTCTTCGCTTCTTTCTCCTCTTCTCTCTTCTCTCTCCTTTCTCCTCTCCTCTCCACCCAGCTTTGAGCCCTTGTTCTTTGCATGTTACTTGAGCCCACATTGCAGTCACTACTAGGCGTGCTGCGCAGGAAAGAAAGAAGATTTTGCATGGCTTCACCGTGCTTCACCTTTTTGAGGGTTCTTGTTTCTAAAGGGGATGCAAAGGGTGGCCTTGAAAGAAGGGTAGTAGAGAAATCATGTGTGGTATTAGGAGGGGGAGGGAGGCCATCGCGGTTAAAAGGTTGGAGGCCATCGCTCTCGGGGGTTTCGTTGCATCTCTAAGCAGACTCTCCCAGGCATGTAGCACTTCCAGCGCCTGAAGACGCAGTTCTTTGTCGGAAGGTGCAACTGCATGTGGATGCAGTGCCTTCGTTGCACGTGCTAGAAGCAAAGACGCTACTAGGAGCAAAGGGCATCGCTACTAGGAGCAAGGACGCTACTAGGGGCTCCTGGCCTTACTAGGAACAAGAAGCTACTAGGAGCAAAGGGTCATGGACATGGCGCTTTTCTTTGCATCATGATGCATTGCCTAGCTAAGGAGCAGGGTGCAGGACTAGAGATGACAGCCTTTGCCTGAGAGAAAGCTCTGCAAAGAGAGCGGGACGCTATGCGGGTGTGTGGTTTCCAGTGTTTTGTGTGTTTTTTTTTTTTTAGTGTTTTCGGACTAGTTTAGTTGAACTAGGTCTGGCATTGGGTGACTCCTTTCCCTTTCAAGCCACATCTGCACCTCATCCATCAAATGTGGAAATTGTTTTTTGGCACCACCTCCTGATGCCCTCACTCTCCTTTTGTTGCCAATTGGTCCTACCTTCCCCTTGCTCATTCAACTCCTGTGCTTTCTTTGATCTGTGTTTGTGCTTTGCTCATGCTTAACCATCTCTTTCTCTCATTTGTTTCTCCCATTCGGACCTCTCATTGAAAATTTATCTCAACTGCTGAGGTCTCATCATGAGCTTCTTGCTGAAATGATTCACCATATTCTTCTCATTTGGAAATTCTGCCCTTGCCTCATAGAGCTTCTTGCAAATAGCATGTTTGGTAGATATTGGCATCTCCCATTCCTTGGCTTCTCACCCTTCTTCCTCATAGATTCCCCTGTTCATATCCTTTGGTATCCAAGGTCTTCCCCCTTCTTCCCATCATCTCCTCTATTCTTTGATACCTTGCCTGCAATGTCACCAATGGCTTTCTCATGCAACCACACTCCTTCCACCAGATTGAACCAATTGCCTGATGGCGTCTTTCACTGTGACCCAATTTCTTCATCAGTGGCCATGACAGTTCCAGGGCTAAAGGACCTCTTGATTCCCAATTGCCCTTTGTTAGTTCATGAATCGGATTCAACTTGCTCATACACCTCAACATGCTCACCAAGTCAAGCATTATCCTCCTCATACTCCTCAATGTCACTCATGGCTTCATCACTCATGCCCTCACCAAGCACACCATACTTATTCCAAGTTGGAATAGAGAAAGTAGACATCCTGCTCAATGCCACGAATACAAAATTTACCTATGAGACTGGTACCCTCACTGGTTTCTTGAACCCAAAGTCTCCATGCATATATATTATATGGCAATACATGATGCACATATGGTACTCACGAGTGTAATTAAATCATGTGATAATACACCAACTAGTAGTAATATATTTGCATACTTATGGTCAAACATGGTGTACACAAGCCCATCCACCCATTGCCAGTCCACCAACCTCCTGGTGTCACCAATCTCTACCAATCCTCACCAATCCCAAGACTAGGATGTTACTACTAGCTTCTTGTTACTACTAGTAAGGCACCTGTTACTACTAGCGTGGCACTTGTTACTACTAGCTTCTTGTTACTCTCTTGTTGCGGAGAGTCTTTGGGTTCAGGTGCACTCTTATGGGTATCATGTAGACAAGGTCGAGGCAGGGGAGCGTTGACCGAACATCGGACGTCCACAGGGTGCTGCTCCAGATGTCACCGTGTGCCAGTTCCAAATGGATGATCCGAGAAGAAAAAAACTTAGATGTGTTGGTTTTTCGTCGAAATGAGTCCTAGTAGCGTCCTTGTTCCTAGTAGCGATGCCAGGAGCCCCTAGTAGCGTCCGTGCTCCTGGTAGCTCCTTGGTTGGGTTCGATGGAACAACTTTGCAGGAACAACCTGGACAAGACCTGGAACCTGGAGATGTGCTGCCCTTCGCCTTATTCGCTGTGTGCTGCCAGTGGCAAGCCATCACCAATCACAGTCTCTCTCTCTCTCTCTCGCTGTCTTTCTCCCTCTCTCTCTCTCTAATTGTTGAGGTTCATCGTATTCCATCATGGCAAGTTGAGATGTTCAAGGTTTGATTGAAGAGAAGGTGTTCATTTTTCTGGACAGCTGATGGAAGGTGCAACAGACTGAATCAGACTGAAATGTGAAACAGAGTTCCACCAGGTGAAGTTGAACCGAGGCTCAGTGTTGATGGGGAAGCCTTGTGGGGCGACCTGTCTGAAGACGAGCTCAACGAGGTTGAGAGACTCTGTGGACCAAGTCACTCGATACTGTATCCTGTATCTGACAATGTGAGATGACTGGGCAGTGTCGAGTTCGCCACAGGTGTTTGGTCGAGAGTTTGCAGATGGTGCGACTGTGCTCACGGCCAAAGCAGATGCCGTTTCTTGAATGAATTAAGGAGCAGACATCATAGGACAAATCAATTCAAGTGACTGACGTTTGCAAGTCAAGCATGCCGATCATGGTAAGTCAAGGTGGACGGCTGCCATGTTTGGCAACCTTTGGGCACAGATTTGTGTCGAGCAGCACCTTTGATTGCTGCGCTCCGTGAAGACTTAGGCAGTCTGAGTAGCGCCACCCTCCTCCCTACTCAATTAAGTAGGCGCCTACTTAATCAAGTAATGGAGAGGTAGCTAGTAGCTACAAGAACGCTACTAGTATGGACGCAGGATAGCTCTTGCTTCTTTAAGGAAGCTCCCCCCCGCCTGAGGGCGGGGAAGCTTCCTTGAAGAAGCGCTCGCACTGATGATTTGGTTCCTAGATTTTTAGGGAAACTTAAGGTTGGAGGCCATCGCAAATGAACTGCAACTAAGCTGCGCTGCTATATCAAATCACCTTTCGTAATGATGCTGACTCCATTCCATGGTATACTTTGTGTTTTTGACGAGTCAACACCATTTGAGTTTGACATTTGTTTGTCCTTTTGCTTGGAAGACTTCAAGCCATCAAAGCAGGCATCATGGGTAACAGCTTCGGTGTGTCCGCAGAGCTGGATGAAGAGGCTTGGTTCGACTCATGAAACTGCGAACCTTTCAAGACACAAGTGACTCATAGGTTGCAAAATCAGTTTTCAGTTTGTTCGGACCGTTCGGACGACCCAGCTCCAGGGTGCTGTTTGGCTTCGGGGACCAGCAGGAGGCCAACGTGGAGCCTTGGCTGAGCTGCCAAATCTGGTCAGGCAGGATGGCATAGCGGCGTAGCAGCGCGAGCAAGGACTAGACAGGGTAGAACAAATTACAATTGGCCCTCTCGTTTTTTTGTGCTTTGCTTCTTCTTTCTTTGGATCGCACACCGGCGATGCCATAAGGCGTGCGGCGCCAAGAACACATTTTTTTGAAGCATGTGCACAGCCCGTGCGCGTCCCCATATGTGATGATACTCCAAAAGTATCGTGAGGCTTTTCACCATCATTGCACCTTTTTAAGGGCAATGTTTTATCATGAAAGCCAGCCGATAGGCAAGGCTTGAGGTAGGGGAGCGAACGAAGTGAGTTAAAGAAGGTGTGGGGGGGTGGTCGCGAGGTGACCAATTTCGGAGAGGCTGACGCAGAGCCTGGTGGGGGAGAGCGGAAAAAAAAGAGGTGGCCACTTGGTAGTGAAAATGAGTAGTTTTTGGGGGGGTGTTGTGATGCCGGCGATGTAATTGACGGCCAGTAGTGCATCATTAGCATCACGAGGGGCTCAGGAGGCAATGTAGACCGTTTTCTACCAGGGGTGGGAGTTCATGTCAATGATAGGAAAGAGGGGACAACGGGACGCGAAAAGTGGTTGGAACATGTTGGAACTCCTCCAGAAAAGGAAGCTGCGCGCCTCTCATGCCCAGTGAGTAGTGCGAAAGGGAGGTGTGTGTATCTTAAGGCATTGTGTAATCTGTGAGGAGCCAGAATGCTGTGGGGAAGGTGGAAGACAGGCATAACGTAGGAGGACGTGGTAGGAAAAGAGTCTTTGCAAGAAATGTTAGAGTTGCTTGGGGGGTGCCCTTTCTTAATGGTGAAGACGCCGGCCAACTATACGCCAAGGGCACCCCATATGGGGTGCGAGTTCATGTAATGCTGTGGTCCGTTGAGGGCAGGAAAGAGAACAAAATGCAGCGGGCAAGCTTTGAATGCTTGGGGTGTTTACGGTGAAGAGGTCTTGTTGCCGGACTCAAAAGGGCGCCCCATATCAGTGGACCAGACAGGCATAGTGGAGGAGGACGTGATAGGAAAAGAGGGATTGCAAGAAACGATGTGACCCATTCATTGAGAACAGGGAATGCAGCGGGCAAGCTTCGAGTTGCTTGGGGGTGCCCTTTTTCAATGCGAGAGCCCTGGTGAGCTCACCACACCTTTTCCTATCACCTCCTCCCCCGCTATGCCCATTTTGTACATGAACTCCCACTCCATATGGGGTGCCCTTTTGCGTCTGGTCAACAGGCCTCTTCACCATAGAGCGATATCTTTTACGGTGGCTGGCTTTCGTCCCCTCCCTTCTCAGGTTTCCTTTTAAATATTTACAAAAAACACGTTATGTAGGTGATGTTTTCGCGTCTTGTTTGAACCATCAGAACAAAAAACGTTCCAACCTCGGCAAGACCAAAACCACAATATTTATGAGGTTTTTTGCATTAGGAGCCAATAACCATGGCTTCTACAGTGTTTCTAACATGCCTGCGGCCAAAAGCACTGGTATTATTTTACTCAGTTTTGAACATGTTGCTAGCAATGACATTGTCATTTTTGGAATGTAGAAACACACTAATGTATATACCTTAGCGTTGCAAAAATTGATCAGAACTGTCCGCTTGACAGCCTTTGAAAAAGACACCGAGGGCAACAAGCAGAGCTCTGGAGTGCCTGGAGGACCAAGCCTGGGCGGACCGCCGCGTGCCCGTGGAGAACGTGGTTCTCCGCAACGTAGCGGAGACCGCGGAAACGTCTTTGGGTTGGGCCTTCTCCACCAGACTTGCCCGGAGAGAGCGCCTGGAAACTTGCCCAGGGCGCGAAGGAGACAAACTGAATTTTATTTGTTCAAAGTCAGTTTTTAATGCTGTCTTTCATTTTTGTCTTTCTTCTGTCTTCCGTTGCGCTTTGCCAGGACGGGCTGCTTCGGGGGGGCGCAGCGCTTCACAGGCGCTTGCAAGCAGCAAGCGGCAAGCCGCTCTTGCGCTTCAAGGGCGTGGCCTTCCAGGGCAAGTCTGTGTCCGATCCGTGGGGCAACTAATATTTGGAGGCAGGGTCACAAGGTGATCAGGCAAGTTGGCTCTCGTTGTGGGGCATTGCCATCAGGATGGCAAATGCTGCGTCGTCCTCAACGGCGTCCTCCAATGGGCACCTTCGTGGTTTGGCGCTACCCGGTCATCTTGCCCGCGGACATTCAGGCATTACGCATCCCGGACAATGCGCTCATCTGTTCGCGCTGGGCCGAGGACGCCGGAAACTCAGAGGACGCGCCTTGGTCGGGATTACGACGGGGACCCTACGCGCGCCTGCAACCCTTAAGAGTGTCCCACAAGAGAGTCCCACAAGAATGTCCGACAAGAGTGTCCTACAAGAGTGCCCCGCAAGAGTGTCCTACAAGAGTTCCCCACAAGAGTGTCCTACAAGACTGTTTCGCAAAGTGTCCCACAAGAGTGTTCGGCAAGAGTGCTCCGCAAGAGTGCTGCGCAAGAGTGCAACAGTGAGTGTCATACAAGAGCACAAGAGTGACAAGCAAGAGTGTCCTAAAGTGTCCCACAAGAGTGGCAAACGAGAGTGTCCCGCAAGAGTGTCGCGCAAGAGTGTCCCACGAGAAGGTCCGACGAGAGTGTCCTGCAATAGCGCCCCACAAGAGTTTCCAACAAGAGTGTCCCAACAGAGAGTCCTACAAGAGTGTTCCGCAAGAGTGTCATACAAGGTGTTCCACAAGAGCGCGCAAGAGTGTCCCACAAAGGTTTCCGAAAAGAATGTGTCCTACAAGAGTCTCCCACAAAAGTGTCAAAAATTGCTTGGGCGTTTGTTTTCGAGTACTTGTTGGCGTTCGGGTTCGTGTTCGTGGGTTCCACCATTTTTCACCTGTGCACTTGAGGGTGTGAGAGAGGGCGCAATCAGAACACGCGTGAACTTGGGTTCAAAATTTTATAAATAGTCCAAAACTTGAAGCTTTCAATCCAAGCGGCCGGTTGAAACTGTAGAAACAAAGGGGTGGGCGATCGTTTTCAATCAAGCCCCAGAAATACACTTAGCCTGTCCGTTTGGATCCTCGAGACGTTCGAGTCGGCGTTTGTTGGAGGCATTCAGAAGGGCGCGCCAAAAGCCAGCGACGCGGCCCAAACGAGACTACAACTTTTTGGCGGCCAGAGGCTGCGCGCACCCTTTCGCCGCTTGCCACAGGACCACGCGGGCGAAGTGGTTTTGCGATACATAGTATTTATAGTTATACATATTTTTGTATATACACATATCTGTGTGTGTGGGGGGCCTTTCCGGCACCATGCACTTTTAGAAGCGCTAGAAGATCGATACGCGCTGCAACTTCTTGTGACTGATAGCGTCGCTCCAGAGGACAACTTTCGCGACCGGGTGTGGTTGCCCTTTGACCGCACTGTGCTCGGGGCGCGCGCTGCCGCTGCCATCAGGGAACTTCTTTTGGGCCAGCGGGCGCAAGGACAACCTTGGGAGATCGTTGCCGAGCACGACTCCCTGCAGGCGCCCAAGTTAAGTATCTTTCATGTCCGGCTGTTGGTCTGGGGATAAAATTCAATTTGGAGTAAAAATGCTTTAAACCACAGCCTTGGCGTGGTGTAGCCGAAGTGCTCTTGCGGGCGTTCTTCATCTTTGGAAACGCGAGAATTTCCGTTGCAATGTTTTTTGTTGGCCCCGTGTATCTCTGGATCTTTGCAAAATGCCTACCCAGAATTCGGGCGAAAACTTTTCTGGCAAAAGAGCGCCGCTCAATTTTCTATTACTGTGTGTTTTTGGCGGCCTCGCCGTCCGCAGGAACTTGCCGGTTTATTGCGCCGCAACCGCCAGGCCGCAAGGAAATAGCTCACAAAATCCATCTGTTTTAGCTTGCTTATTTATTCCGGTTGTAGGAGGTTGCGGTGTTGGCAAAAAAGCAAAGGCTGGTAAAGGCACAGCTGTGACCGTCCAAGCAGTCAGCCGAGGAGCAAGGATTGCGCCGAATTGTTGAAAGAAAAGCCATTCTAGCATAGGCTCCAAAGAACAATTTGAATGCGCCAAGAAAAAGCAACTAGACACGTTTCAGGGCCTTCACTGTACCTGCTCAGCGCGTTAAGGCAGCAGCCAAACCCTTGAAGGCGAAGGGAGAAGAGCGTGCCAGAGCAGCTGGCAGTTGCTTTGAAGTACAAAGACGCGCTGAAATTTGCGCTTGGCGTGCCAACTACATTGTAAACGGCGTGGCTACTTCCTTGCAATTGTTGCCTGGCCAGGACTCCTGACCACCAGGCAAGCGCCGCTTGAATTTAAAAGGTTGTTGCGCAAAAACAAAGTTGGCAACTTTATGTCTCGCGCGCCTCAACTATGAGACGTACCTGGGCAAGCGCGGGGCGGAAGAGGGTCAGAGTTCGTCGGCGCGGGTTGGAGCGCCCCTGGTCCATCACTTTGCCTGCGCCCGGTAGCGGGGCTCGCCCCAAGCTTCAGCTTATTGTAACCTTTTTTCAATCCGTGTTCTTTAAGTTCTTACAGTTGAACAATATGAGTCTTTCGGAAATATTTCAATCGTGTATTGGAACTTGACATGAAACCAAATCAGCACAACCTATAATTTTTTCATGGCGCTTAAGAAGCGCGCATTTAATATACAATTATGGCGCAATGGCTACATCGTGTTACACACAAGTTGCCGCCGGCGTTGAGACTCAACATGCAGTTTGGCTACAACTCGAACTTGCCGTCGCACCAGCTTTGAAGTCGAAAATGATATGAAGTTGCTGTTCCACAAAGTTGCCGGAAACATGTGCTCCACTGTGGCAGAGGTAGGTGGTGATAGTGCTTACTTTAACCCAACCATCCCCGAACATTTCCAAGTCAGTCTGCATTGAAAAGTAGTTTTCCAAAATAGAATCAATGACTTGTCCAGGTTTTCATACAAATATTGTCGTTGACTAAAGCAGAATTTATGTAAAAGCTAATGGTTGGCTTGGCTCCATGCTTAAAGCATTGTTTCCTGGTTTTGTTAAACAACTGTTTTCCAAAAAGGCGATATCAAGACAACAATTTTTTGAGAAACAGTTTGTGGCTGCTGCTTAAATTTCGGTCGGAATAAAACCGTCATGTTTTTGTTAAAGTGTTGTACTTTGAGTGTTAACTAGGCAACATAAAGATATACATACATATGGTTCATATGGTTGGTACGATTCCAAGATTGTAACCTAAATTTAAAAAGTTGAACCGCTACATGATATGATATGAGTGGCAGCTGTTCCCAGCCAGATTCTATTTTCCAGAGCTACGAGACAGAGCCTGGCCATCCCACCAATGGGTGACTCTTGTCTAAATTTTTTGAGGTTCTAATCCATTTAGCAATACTAGTAGTTTCTTGTTCCTAGTAGTAACGGCCTCCAACCTAATAGTAATGGCCCCCACCAAGTAGTTTCTAGCTACCTAATAGCGTCCTTGTTCGTGTGTAGAACTTCAGTTTGTGTCAAGGTTTGTGCCCGTGAACCGGTGCAGTCTTGTGGTACAGCTGCCATGTCCCATGTACGTCACATTCTGTCACCCTTAGCCCTCAGGAAAGCCAATAAACTAGGTGAAAACAAGAATGGAAGAGGCTCTGTCAGCAGCCGCTTCGGCCAGCAACGTTTTTGCACAAGAAGTTTTGGATTCACACTGTACGAAGGCCATGAAAATGAAAGTCTCTTGTGAAGAAGATGGATAGTCTCTTGTTTGGCCAAATTGGATATGACAAGGCGCTGAACGAGTGGATCCCGTGGAAGTTTATCAAGATCTGAATCTTGGACGAAGCTGCAAGAATGGATTCAATTGTGGGCTGCCAACCTGCAGGCCATTCAGAAGTGGCACAAGCGTGACAGTTGCATAAATTTGTGTTACAAGTGTTTGGGGTGAAGTTGCGTCATCTCAGGACTGAATGGCAGAGCGCTCTCAGGAAGCAGTGCAAAGAGGAGACAATTGTGTCGTCCAAATGGGCCAAAGTAGGCAGACAGAAGGAGGGATTGCAAGCATGGCTGAGAAACACGTGCAATCAACGGAATGCATGTAGCATTCTTACTACTAGGAACAAGGACGCTACTAGGGGCTCCTGGCATCACTAGCAGGAGCATTCTTACAATTAAGTGCCTTGTCCAACTTGTTGCATCAAATGAGTAGCTGAACAGGAGCACACGAGTTTGCTTTGACAAACACCCCAAACAATGTGTATTGACAGTATCGTTTTGACACTATGGAGGCCTCAATTTGCCGTGTCTGTGAACACGATTCTTCCATATTGACATACGACGTCAGCCTTGCTAGGTACAGTAATATCTCCGTGTCATGAAGCGTAGCCAGTTTGCACATCGTCATTCACCGTGCTGCTGCTGGCGTGTGCTTTGCTGTGTTCCTGTTCTTAGGTTGGAGGCCATCACTAGTAGGTTGGAGGCCATTGCTCCTAGGTTGTTCCTGTTGTCTTGTCTCTTCTTTCAAGCTAGCGCCAGAGGCTGCGGTCGTGTGAGCTTGCTGGTTTTGATACCTTAGATGAGTTAGTTTCAATGTGACAAGCAGTGCACCACTTCCCCTGCTGTCTTCATGAACCAGAGAAGTACAAATGATGCTCTTCAGCAGTAGTGATATCATGCGTTTGGCAGATTTCAGCAGCAACATTGCTTTTCTAATCGCCATCCAAAGCAATTTGGCAGGTTTTGTTGTAAAATACATCTCAGCAAGTTGATTAAAAGCGTGTTGTCAGCCTTAGCTAGTCTTGAGTCTTGAGCATGATGTGCCTTTTCACGGTTCTTGATGGAATCAGCATGTCCTGCTATTTGACTTCACGGGCGTCGCATTCATACACCATGTAATGAAAGTTTACCTGTCCATGCTGCTGAAGAAAAATTAGATAACACAAGTTACAAGATATGAGCGTTGAGGGATGTTGAGGGTTTGTTTGAGTCTAGGCCTTAGGTCTTGTCGGAGCACACACTTTTTTCTGAAAGGCCTGGGGTTCGTTTGACTTCCTTCCCATTGGAATATGTGTGTGATTGTGATTGTTTTCCCAGAACGCGTGTTCCTTCTTCCTGAAGGGCACTTCACTCTTCGCTCCATGGGTTGAGGACGACGACATTTTTGACGAGGATCTTCCTGTGGAACCGTTAGAGGTTCCTTAGCCCAAAAACACATGGTAGTGGTTGGTGTTCAAAAGTTGGCAGAACTAAAATGGGCAGACAAGGCGCATGCACGGCGTATGCGAATGGCGTCAATGCATTGAAAGAATCTTCAGGCTCCTGATGAAGGCCCAGAGATTTTTGAGGGCGAGACCATACTTCCAGAGCTGGATATGTCTCTTGGTTTCAATCAGATTTGTTCATGATTTTATGTGCTTTGCACGTGGTATTTCGTGATTGATGTCATTCACTACAGTAGGCACTAGTCACTGCTTGGTGCCTATTGCTCAGGTCTCGACCATTCAAGATGCTTTGCTGCAGAAAGCAACAGCCTGCTTTGTGGGGGTTTAATAGTCACTGCTTCTTTCAATAACTGAGGATGCTCATTCTGGTGGGCTTCCCAGGCTCTGGAAAGAGCTGCGTAGCAGCACGATTGGCAGCACATCTCGGGTATGACATTGTAAACCAGGACACATTGGGTGACCGCTACTTGAATGCATTCCTGTCAGGCCATGCCAGGGGAAGTGTTCACATTGAAGGGCGCAGCTTTACAAGTAACCTGAAAGGATAAAAAGGAAAGGATTAAAGGCCTGCGGCCTTGTTAAAGAGGCCCTTCCCTTCTTGGCCTTTCCTTTTATATCCTTTCTGAAAGGTGCAACGGCTTTGTTTAGTCCTCAGGTAAAGCGTGTGTCCAAGCTGCCCGAGAAGCTCTTGCCGAATGCCGGCGCTTGGTGGTGGACCGGTGCAACTGCACACGACTTCAGAGACGAGTCTCGTGACAAAGGAAAACGAAAAAGGCAACCACATGAAAACAATATGAGTGGTGCTTAAACCAAAAAGAAAGTAATTGAATTTATATGAATTGGTGCTCAAATCAAACACAGTATGTCATGTTGAAATCCCTTTGGCAACGATTTGTGACTTTGTTTGAGCACAATGAAATCAGATAATTTATCACTGGTGAATCGCATGTCGGAAAATCATTCGGCGTGAATCACTACTGCCAAACGAATGAAAGAAGAGAAAGACAGGCTTCAATTCACTGGGCATTTCCTCTCAAAGAAACTCAGGTTTGGCTGGAGCTTGCAGATGACTATGAGGTTGGAGCAGTGTCTCAGCAACACCTAGACCTAGCCATGCTATGCAGCTATGCCATGCTGGGATGCTTCACAGGATGTGTAGTGTATCCAAATTCAAGGCATGCATTTGGCTCGACATCCCAGAGGTCTGGACTTTCTTTGATTCCACATTGTCAACATCATTAAGAGCAAGGACGCTACTAGTAGCTCCAGGCATCGCTACTAGTAGCAAATAGCTACTAGTAACAAAGGGCATCGCTACTAGGAGCAAGGATGCTACTAAGAGATACTTCGTTTCTTTCTTTCTGTCTTTCTTTCCAGCGATTCTTCGGCATATTTGGCTCAGGAGATTTGCGGCGAACGTGTCCTGCAACGCTTCGGACATCGAACTCTTCCACCCGAAGACAAGAGTCTGAAGGCAAAAAGAATCCGTCTTTGTCCTTCGAATTGAATGTCTATTTTCCTTTAGCCCGCTCTAGTTCGCTACTTAGGATAAGTTTGCTTCTAGCTAGCCGCAGGATAGTTCACGCTTCTTCAATGAAGCTCCCCCCGCCACCCTAAAGGCGGCTGGGGGGAGCTTTTTTGAAGAAGCCCTCTCATGTGTCACGGTGCCCATTGTAGACTGACCATTCATTTGCAGGTGATTGACGGGTTTGCACAGCGATTCGAACCACCAATGGAGGCTCAAGGGTTCTGATGATTGCCTCCACTGTTTGTTCGTTGCACATTGATGAATCATGTGTCGAAGGCGGAAGGCTTCGTGCGTTGGCGTGTAAAAGATGACGGCGACCTTGAAGAGGCCGCTGCTAGGAGCAAGGACGCTATTACTCCTGGCATCGCTACTAGGAGCAAGAACGCTACTAGGAACAAGTGCATTGCTACTAGGAACAAAGTGCCTTACTTAGTAGTAACAAGAAGCTACTAGGAACAAGTGCATTGCTACTAGGAACAAAGTGCCTTACTAGTAGTAACAAGAAGCTACTAGTAACAAGTGCATCGC